GTTTTTCATACTTCATTGTGACTCTAACTGGGTAAGATTCTATTCATTATTTCTTTCCTTTCAGGTGCCCTTACTTCATTATTCACTACTTGTATTCCGATTCATGGTGAACAGTGCCTGACCAGATGTCCTTCAGTTGAAATCTGCACTGTACAGCCATGTCGAATTGTGCTGTCTTCCATTGCTTTGCAATGCTCACTGGTGAGATGGGGTATTCCACAAGATCGCTTGAAGGTGAATAACCTAGCAATGTTTTGCTTCATAAACATGCCCATTCCAAACCATACCACCCCTAGACTGTATGGATAAAGCAAAAGGGGATAGTTGCCCATCCCTGCCATGCCTTGTTTGAATAAATTGATATGTTCTGCTTTTCAAAATAGGGTTTTATGGGCACCCATTATGTTCCTCTAGATTCTTTACTATGTATTCACCCTCTTTTCTTCTAGTGGAGTGTGGGAGTCCTTACCACTTTCCAGTTCCAAGCCGCTGGGATGGTTAACTGTGGAGGCACCCTCCTGAATGTGTTCCACAAAAAAGATGGCTATAACAATTCAGTCGAGAGAAGGGAAGTGGTGTTCTGCTGATGTAGATGAGGTGTGGTCTCCAAAGGAGTTGAGTTGTCACCTTGCTGGATGTACTGCCATGTGAATGTTGGTACCCCATGGCCTGGTGTTGGATTTAGAGTCAACCAATCAACATAAGACCTCACACAGGTTTCGGGTTGTCTATCTTTCTTCCTCGATTTCCTCCGTCTGTGTTGTGGGTCACAGCAGTGGTATGTGGGATTGTTCCGGTTCTGTCCTTGGCTATCCCTCATTCTCTCTTCTTATGGGGATGTTATTGCCATTTGGAAGGCCCTGGCCTGTTTCACGGTTGGGGGAGTTGATTGCATGTGATAGATATCCTTTCGATACCAGATGTATAGTTCCTGGATCGATAGCTCAGAGCTAATCCTTGTGTCATATCCGGAAATAAGAATGGTTCTCAGTTTCCGTGTTCTTGGGTTTCAGGTGAAGATGGTATGATCCTCATCCTACTCTTGCATGGATGTTGGTACTCCATGAGGAGGTTTTGGATGTAGTTGACTTACTGAGTACGGTCCATCGCACCCTAGCCACTATACATCCAGGTGTGCATCCTTGTTTACCCACATTTCTCATTGTGGGATTAAGTTACAATATATTTCTCTGGTTACAATATTTTTCCTACCACATTCTCTCCCATTTAGATGTGCTCCTCTTATTTTCCACCCTGATATCTTGCACATTCCACACATGATCGAAGAGTATACCTGGCTCAGAACTGGTGCAGTTCCCCCTTTTCAGATCTGACTTTCTCACCTATGGAGGTATCCTTTGAACACTTTTGGGGAGTGTGTCTGTTCTTTCCTCGCACAGGTCCTTCCTCCTAATCAATGTGGGATTCTAGCTAATCTTGTGAGTGGGTGGAAGTACTGTATTGGAAGTTATAATTTTCATGTACTGAAAATGTATTTCTAATAGGTACTTTCCTTTGCTCACACTTCCCACCCTTCCTCCCCACACGCATCCGGTGCTTTTGTTTTATGCCAAACTTTGAAGTGATAGTTTGGTAGAAGTGCATAGAGGGAGTCACATGCATCACACGAGTGTACTATGCTGCTATTGGTGGAGAAGTGATGCATGATGATTTACATGAGAGACACAGAAGTACCTATAGGAAATACATTTTCATCAAATGTATTCAGCCTCCTTATTTCTCACACAGCTAAAAATATATCATATTTTTAATTCAGATTACTTTGTAAATTTCCTTTTTAATCTTCTT